AGCTGACCCAAGAAATCCTGGTCAAGCTCCTGACCCTGGTTGGGAGGTCTGTAGTAGACTCCCACCGTTAAGTCTCTTTCGCCTCGACAGCCTTTCACTCTAACCCAAAGCACTTCAGAGTGCCCCTCCCCTGGCTCCTTGCCAATGGACGAGGATGTGTATTCCTCCTTAATCCTCATTGTCCCCATTGTGCCACACCAGGCTCATGAATGTGTAGTTCATGGTGTTGCAGGGATCAACAGTGTGGTCCTCTTGTGGATCAGGGACAGTTTCTCATGGTAGGTCCCCGCTGTGCCTGAGACCTTGTTGGCTTCTTTATCCTAAATATACTGGGAATTCAGGCACTTGATTTTAGTGTCGATCTACAGCCAGTTTTACTGATGCTCCCGAGCCAGCATCTGAACCGAGATACAATTGTCGTCTGCCTTGTTTTTTCAGTTGCCTTTTGTTCCCCTGTGCCACTGGCAGTGGTGGCAATGCTTCTCTCCTTGCCCCAGATCATGATCACGTTCAACATCTCACCTTGAGTCCAGTTTGAGGCCCATCTGACAAATCCCAGGGCACATTCTTTGGCTTGGTTCATTCACAAAGGTAGGTGATGGCTGTTCACATGGGAGCAACTGAGCAACAGTGGCAAACTGTGAGGATACCAGTGGGTGCTTGGGGTGGGTGGGGATGTTGACTTGGGGCCAGTACTAACTCCTGGGCAGTAAGTAGACTTTGGCAGGGTGGAAAGTTTGTTCACCTAACAAGAGTGGGAGGGCTAGGAGTGATGCATCCTGTGATGCAAATTTCTTATTTTATCTCCATGGAGCAGACTGTTGTTACCGTAACATGAGCTGGGTAGCATGACCCAGAGATACTCCTCACCAAAGTGGTGTAACTTTGATACACCCAAAGAATACTTGGCATGAGTTTTCCCCCTTTAATGTGCAGTTGCTTATGTTCTAAGTGCCTTCAGAATGTCATAAGGGCAACAAGGCCCTAAATGGAAAATATTAAGTAATCTGAGAAGAGGGTGTGCCACTTAAATATGGGAAAAACGGTTAACATATTCTAACAAGACTTAATATGTTTATGTCATTAGCCAAGTGTTTGGAACTATAGTTTATTCCTACTTCAAAACTATTGATTATTTTTATATCCATTACTGAAAACTATTTTGCAATATCTTAATAACTCAAGTGGTTGCACTAACTTGATCCATTAATGATCCTAAAATGATGCACACTACAGTTATTTTCTAATAAGCAAAACACATACATGTCTGAGGGTTGAATGACTGACATATTTTCTTATAAATGGAAGGGAAAGTAGAGGAGACTAATTTAGTCTGTTGAGAAGAGGTGCATATTTGTTATGCTAGTCTGTGTTGGAAGTTACATTCAAGTAGCACTGGGGTAGGCTAATTAACATGCAGGCAACTAATTAGCGCTGTCTCTCAGAAGTACTTATTACTCACAGCACTGCATGAATGTAGCTGCATTGCTTCTGTTGCAGGACTTAACTCACTGGTACTGCTATCCAGAGTGGAAAATGTGCGGTGTTGACATGTACTAATACACAAGTTACAACACTGGCTAGGCAAAGGCCTAAGAGTTTTAGTGAAAACTTCTGTTTCACCAAGCAAACAACTAAAATGAAGCTTGCAGCCAAGTTTGGGAGAGATCCCATTATCCCCTCTGCCTCCATTATAGAAATAGGACGAAGGCTGCACTTCTTCAGATGGCAATTCTGTTCCTATAACTATTATGCATTATTATTTATGTAGCTCTCAAAGCTATAATACTCCCCGGAGTAGATAAAGACATATTCTCTAATCTTAGTATTTACAGTCTATTTACAGTATCTAGCATGAGATGAGTTATGGAAGATACTGAAGACAAAAGCAGAGGTTACAGCTGATACACAGTAGAAGGGAAGCCACTGGAAAACATGAGCATAGCCAAAGCTTAGTCACATCTACATGAGATGCTGAATGTGCAGTAGCCTGAGACTATTTCTCAGTAGTGTTGTGTGGCAGAAACTGAGATGTGACACCTCTGCCCCCTTCGCTCAGCAACTGGTGCCTCCTGGGTCCGAGGGGGCACCCGGGGTCCTCCCGCAGCTGATCGCTGAGCCAGAGCATGTGGGGGAGCAGGGTCTGCTCCATCCTAACCCATGGGATGCTCCATTTGCCCCATCACTGCATTCACAAGCCGTACCTGGTACCTCGAGGTACATAGAAAAAATATATAAAGCTGTGTCTATGGCCAAATCACTGATTATCTGAATCAGAATCGAATCTTCAGATTCAGATGTGGCCAAATTGAATCAGGACAGTGATTCAAATCAGCAAATTGAATCTCTGTCCCCTGAATTGGGCTGAATCCGAATCCAAATTGACTACTGCTCACTTTGCACGCCCCTACTGTACAGTAATGACTGCGCAGTTAGCAACTTATGTAGATATGGCCCCTGCTAGATAAAACACAATTGGAAATGGTTGGAACAAAATGGTTTGGAAAGGACTGAAGTTGTCTCCAGGAAAAGAGGAAGCGGATCTTCTAGTACCCAAAGGGAGATTTAGCTGATTTTTAAAATCCCGAAGGATTTCTTTATGGTTCCTTGGGAAAATATTTTACTTAATTGTGATACTAGGACTCACATTCTAAATGTTTTTTTTTTTCTGTGCCTCATCCTTAAATTTCAGCCATGTTTGGTTCTGAAAAGTTAGCAGTAAGCAATGTTCAGAGAAAGGAATTATTAATTCATTGTTGGTACCTATATGCCCACAGATTGTGCCATAAAGCCAATCCAGCTGACATCTATTCTTGCACAAAACTGAAGAGGAGACAAAGATGAGCATCTGCATGTCTTTAAAATTTGTCATTTGTTAGACAAGCAAGCAATTTCTAATTGCTAACCAAGAAACCTGTAAAAACATGTCAATGCATCTCTCACATCTCAAAGTTTGGACCTTCCCTATGAGCACAACGAATGGACTCTCTGAACCATATGCCCACACATTTTTGCAGTATTTACTAGCTATCTATGTCAGATCAGTCCCAGTTTCATTTTACTATTATGACAGTTATTTATTGGTTGCTTGGTTGTTCATTTTTTGGTGTTGTTTGTTTCGATTTTATTTTTGTATTAGTTTGCTTCTTTCGGTTTGTTTAAGTTACGTGGTTAATCACATCTTAAGCGTAATGTGTGGCAAGGGCCCAAGTTAAAAAAAGAATTATTACTGATATACAAAATGTATCATATTTACAATGTAAACTCTAGAACATACTGGAAAAATAAAGAGCTAACGTATCACAGAAAATCCTTAAGAAACTTCTTCCAACAGAAACACATAGCAGCTTGGAAAACTGAGACTGTCTAGTAAATAACAGGATAAACTGGGAAGAAGTGTAACCCAATCTACTCAGGACCAGCATTGATCTAGAATCTGAGGTTCCTGACACTTCTTGAGAACCACCTAAAAATAAGACTGGAATAATTTGTATAAGTAACACAAAACTGTCTGTATCTTCCTCTGAAGTTCTTCTATTAACCCATATAGCAATCATAACTTTTGTTTTATTTGTTATCCTTTAGATTATAGCTGAGATTTTTGAACAAGAAAACTAGGAATACTATGGAAGAAAAGGGATTTTGAATTTTTATACACCTGCTCTATTCTGAAAGTCTAATTCTTTTATGCTTTTATACAGTAATTATAGGTACCTGAAAGCACTGTTGTACTTAAAGGTCTGTCAGCATTTCCATTATAAACCCAGTTTTTCAAGAATGTCCCAGCTGTGAAAATTTGCTTTAGCCTGAAACTTGGCATTCAGGTGTCAAATGTGAGAACACATTCTTCTATGGTTTCAGCTGTCTTCTTTGTGACCTCTTCTGCTTGATTAGTAGGGTCAAAAAGAAACAGTTTGGCAAAATCTAATCCTCCTCTGTAATTGGTTTTGAAGTTATATTGATAACAGATATAAATAGAAAATGTTCTAAAATGTTAGAAGAAATTAGGCAATACTATTCTAAGTTCATCCACCAATCTCTGTGTTTATTGGTAAAATATGTAATTTGTTGGTAAAATATGAACTACTTCAGCATTCCAATAATGACATTGTGCATTATAGATTATCAGATTTTTACACTAACCTGGATATTTCCAATTATTTAAAAAAAACTATTTTAAAAGAATACCTCACATATGTTTTGTACTCTTCAGCCAAAATTATTTGATTCACTCTGGACTCAAGATTTAACTCACAGAGGGACAAAAATATATAAGTCCACTATTAAGGTGCCATACCAAAAAAACCCTCAGCTGGCTAACCCTGGAGAAACCTAATTCCCTAAGCAGCTAAATTTCTGATTGAGGAATCTTCTTGGTTCCTCAATTTTGATGCTGGCCATCTACAATGCTGCCTAAATCTTGAAAAACCTGAGTTTCTAAGCACCCAAGTATGGATTAATTTAACAAATTGCACATTTCCTGCACATGTCCATAATTGGCTCCAATTTGGCAGTCATTCTCAGAGCATTTCCATCTTAATTATGGATCTTTCTACCTATTTATATCTAATACCTCTGATATTTATATGAGTAGGTCTGGAACCTCAGTCTACACAGTGACTTCCCTGTAAATATTTAATATGGAAGACATGCAGTGGTGCCCACCCCAGAATGATCCTCCCCATCTATGCGACACTAGTCAGGCCGCAGTTGGAGTACTGCATCCAGTTCTGGGCGCCGCACTTCAAGAGGAATGTGGACAACATGGAGAGGGTCCAGAGGAGGGCCACTCGCATGATCAGGGGGCAGCAGGGCAGGCCCTACGAGGAGAGGCTAAGGGACCTGAACCTGTTCAGCCTCTACAAGAGAAGGCTGAGGGGGGATCTAGTGGCCTGTTACAAACTAGTCAGAAGGGACCAGCAGGCATTGGGGGAGTCCCTGTTCCCCCGAGCACTACCAGGAGTGACTAGAAATAATGGTCAGAAGCTGGCAGAGGGTAAATTTGGACTAGACATCAGGGGGCGCTACTTCACTGTCAGGGCGGCTAGGATCTGGAACCAACTTCTAAGAGAAGTGGTGCTGGCTCCTACCCTGGGGGTCTTTAAGAGGAGGCTAAACGAACACCTTGCTGGGATCGTTTGACCCCAGTACTCTTTCCTGCCACGGCAGGGGGTTGGACTCGATGATCTGCTCAGGTCCCTTCTGACCCTATTAACTATGAAACTGTGAAACTATGAATCCCATAAAGCCACTTACTAAGGAAGTGTAAGACTGGGGTTCAAGTCACTGTTCCAAATTATGGAGGGGCAGTGTTAGAACATGGGTTGCTGCATCCTCAGAGAATAGTTTGGTCATGAAGGAATCAAATGCAAGGGATAGTGCAGTGTCATCCCTATGTCCTCATTCTGGTTTTTCATGAGGAACAGCTGGCTTAGCTTAGGTGTTTAACTTTAGAAAAGGATACTGTTTAGTCAGTACAGCACAGAGGGAGGTACCTTAGTTAGCTCCCTGACTTATCGTAATGCATTTCATGCTGGCAAGATGAGGTTGCTGTGGACTATTTTGAGTAACATATCACAGCTTTTAAAAAATATATTTTTAATGAAAAACACTTTAAAGGGTTTCAGTTTCATTCCAAATGTAGAATGGAATAATTTTTGAAATCCTGAAAATTGAGTTTAGGAAAATCTATTACCTTAAAGTCTCAAACTGAATCTTAGTATCAGTACAAAATATTGCTCATTTAATAAGATTTTGTTTAAATAGTAATATGCAATATTTTTTACAATAAAAACTTAAGTGCCATGCTGGTTGGTCCATCTAATTCAGTATCCTGTCTCAAACAGTAGCTAGAGTAGATGCTATAGAGGCAGAGCATTGAACCAGGTGTCTTTAGAACAGCATTTCTCAACCAGTGGGTTGCAACCCATATGTTGGTTGCAAGTAGGGCTGTGCAACATTTTGGCAGTCGTTTCATTTCAGAGGTGTTTTGGGCCATTTTGGCACCCAAAACACTGAATCTGAATCGAAATGGAAGGCTCAGAAACATCTCTGAAACAAAACGAGGCATCCAAAACTTTTCAGAAATGTTTTGGTAGAAGTTTCAGAAAATGTTGGTGTTTCGAAGCTGGGCTTGCAGGGAAACAGCTGTCCTCAAGTATGTTGGAGAGAGCTGCCTCCAGCTTCCTCTGTTGTGGTGGGCAGAGCAGGGAGGGAAGAGGAGGTGGGGGCAGATCAACACCCCCACAGCAAGGAAGGGATTGGAGCTGGGGCTGGGGCTAGGACAAGCTGCCCAGCCTGGACGGTGGGGCATGGGACTTGGGGAGGCTGGGTGATCATTTTGGTTATCCTTCTCTGTACATTTTCTAAATTCTTCTACATCCTTTTTGAGATGTGGGGCAAAAACTGTAACTGTATTCAATATGTGGGCACACTACAGATTTATATAGTAGCATAATGATGTTCTCCATTTTGTTTCAATCCCCTTCTTAATGATACCCAACATTTCATTGGGTTTTTTGGTTGCTGTTGAACACTGAGCTTTTGTTTTAAGAGAACTCTCTCTACAATGATTCCAAGGTCCCTTTTCTGAGTCCTAATAGTTCAGAATACAGCATTTTGTATGTATAGTTGAGTTTATTTTTCCCCAGTGCATTAGTTGCATTAGTCCACATTGAAGTTCATCTGATTTTTGCCCACTCTCTTAGCTAGGTGAGATCTTTCTGCAGCTCCTCTCCATAATTTTAGGATTTAACTACCTGGAATAATTTGGTGTCATTCACGAACTACACTGTTCACCCCCATTTCCAGGTCATTGAAATGTTGAACAAAATAGGGCCCAGCACAGATCCCTGGAAGACTGCACTTGTAACATCCCTCCATCCTGAAATGTGACCATTTAACCCTATCCTTTACTTCCTATCTTTTAACCAGTTCTCAATCCATGAAAGAACCTTCCCTTTATCCTGTAGCATCAGTCTCTAGTTTTGTTTGACCCAGAGGTAAAGGGTGATAAAGATGTGATATCTTTAGAAAGTAGCATGTTAAAAATATTTTTTTTCAAATAATGTTGTAAGGCAAAAGGCTTTAGAAATAATTTGCACTCATTTTATACATTACATACCTTTCCTGGTTGGTCAGGGAAAAATAGCTGTAGGTTTTAATTTATTTCACTGTGTTAAGAGGGATTTTTAATGTAACTGCTTTTAAGGTATCATGCATGAAATACTGAAGTCAGTGGAAGTGAGTGTTTCAATCCCACATGTTTATGAGACTTGTTTTATCTTGGTCTTTTTTATATTTGACATGCTTTGGACCAGTTAAATCAATACCTTATTTTCATTTCTTAACTGGAAAAAAATCTGCATACATTAGATTACATATTGCTCAGGTGGCAAGTCTGTGGTAAATGAAGAGTTAATTACTATATTGGAACTAGTTCTATTTTCAGTGCAAAAACAAATGATTTGTGATACAACTAGATATAGAATTTCAGAGATATGACTTTTGGCTGTCCTAGAACAATTAATTATACTTATTTTACATATGAATATAACTCCCTATATTATATGAAATATAATGAAAAGATAATAGAATATATATTAAAGAGTTAAAATAGGTGAATGAACACTACAGGTAGATAGAAAGCTCTTTTTATCATTGCCATTGCCAGCAATGTTCTATCCTTATGGATTGATAATAAAATTAGAGACGATGATGGTATCAAATTGGCATGCTTTATCATCTGTTTAAAGTATATATATGGACCATAGTATCTAAAAGCCCCATTTTAATGCATTTATTCTTATGGTACCTCCAATACATTAATTCTCAATCATAGTCCTGAGAGATCCTTTTAACGGTGGAACCATGTGCTGTGCAATATTAGCAGGAGTGCAAATATCTACATGTGATTCACAATGAACACCCAGAGATATCAAATAGGAATCCATAGTGTCAAAAAAATTCTGACCTGTTATAATCTGTCAGACTCCTTTGCAACAGAAGAATTGCGCTAATCATTTTCTGTAGTCAAGGAATGAGTGAAAGCTAACAGCTAGTATTTCTAAGGGGTGCCTTGAGTCTAACCAGGCTGGGAACCACTGCTCTAGTATATAAGAATACTATTCCCTAGATGGGAAACTAAGGGGAGTATAATTGACTTACGCAAATAACTATACAAAGTTCTTGGTGGAGCAGGGAAGTGAACCCACAACACTTGAATCCCATGCCAGTACTATAGCCATAAGGCAACCCTTCCTATTGTCATGGGTGACAGCAAGACTTCTGATCCTGTCACTCAGTGCAAGTGTGACATGAGAAAGGAGCAACATAGTCTCTGGACCTAAAGCTGATTATTTGCTCAATCCTGATCCTTTTTCTTAGGTCAACAGCAGTGTTGATAGGTTCCAAAGGGACTTTAATAGGGGATTTGTCTAAGTAGGGATTACAAATTTGGCTCATTAGGTAGATGCAAAAAGGGCTGAGTAGATACAGAGGATCATTATAAGCTGTGCAACTTTTACCACTGTTTCCATTTGGTAATCAGTTCAATACTGTACAAAAACTGGTGAATAACTCTAATGAACACTTTTAGAAATGGTTGAATGAGTCCATTTTTTGTTTAATATACAAACGGGGATGTCCTATATAGTTCCTAGAACAAAGTATCTCTGAAAAGCTAAAAAGAGAACTTTGAACAGTATGACAAGCACAATAAATCTCTTATTACATACCATTTGAAGAACTCCCTGAATTGTAGCTACTGAATTGCCATTGCTACTCAGTTTAAATAAACAAGTCAGCAAATGTGTAAGGAACAAGTATGACAAAGATAACCCCCTTGCAATCAGTGCTAAGCATCTGGACTGTTTCTGAGTCATTGTTCCGCAAGCCAAGTAGAACTATCCTTGGTTCTGTAAAAGGTTTGGGATGAGAATAATATTCTCTTTGTGTATGAGACAAAATAAGCTACACGCAGAATACTGTCATGGTAAACTGTTGCAGAAATGTGGAAACTGCTTACAATTTAATTTTGAATCTTGAAATACGCCTGAAAATTATTTAATATCTACCATAGTGAACAGTTGACAGAAACATCCACCAATGTTTATTTTTATTACAAAGTTGGAAAGTTTGTTATCTTCCACAGGAGTATCATTTAGCCACTATTTCATTGCCTAGCTGTTTTGCATATCACTGTTATTCAGTGTGTGAAAATGTATTCAATAAGATTTTATCTAAGTCCAAGTCGTAAAGCAAAATCATTGCACTATCTAGGAGGCATTGCTTCAAGAGAGGCCAAGAGAAAATAAGAAACGTTTCATCCAAAGAATTCTTTGAAATGCTAAGCAGAAAATGTTAAGTGAAACATAAAAGGTACAAGGTCACAGAGCTGGTGAACTTCAAGACTATATCATAAATTTTCTTAGTGTTCTAAAGACTAGCCAACACCAATTGATCAGAGCATCTAAGTTAAAACATCTGATACAACCACCCTGTCCCATTAAAAGCCCTAATTTAATCATTTGTACTAACATCAGACATTAAGATTTAGGCAGAACCTCTGGATACAGAACATATGACATTTCTTAAGATTCAGAATCTTCTGCAGATTTTTGTATAGTCTCAAAAACATACTTTTTAATATTTATACTGAATAAGTCTCTCTCACAAAAATATGAATTGCATGTCAAACAAGTAGTAAAAATGTTTTTGCTGATTTTGAAGAAATAAAAACGAAAAATGTTAATTAGGCTGAGTCCCTCAACTTCCCAATGCTGGGTTATTCTAACACTTCTTGACTTCAAGCAAAGATCTAGCAAAATAGCAGAGGAGTATGCAAGTAGTTTGAGCACATATCCTACATAAACAATGAATCTGTATTAGGAAAATAATTAATTTGGGAATGTAAAAGACTCATATCACCATAGTATTGCAATCCCTTTCGTATTGTCGTGATAATCCACTATGTTATCATTAAATTAATAAAATACCCTATGCTGTATTTTCCTCTTTATTTTTTTAACCTAAAGGGATTTTTATTTGGATGTCTACTGCAGAATGTAAATGGATTTATAATAAATGAGACTTCTTTAAATTACAGGCTGTAATCCAGGAAATAACTATTTCTGCAGTAGTTCTGCTGTGCTCACAAGCTTTGGACTTGGACCCCTTGCTTCACTGGTGACTTTACTACTTCCATTCCAGGCTGTGTCTTGGAACTGAGAAAGAAAGCATTGCCTAGTTTCAGAAAAGCTTTCGGCATTAGAAACCAATACTGCCACTTTTATGTTTTAAATCAGAACTTTTAGTAGTGTTCCCAATGGTGAAAAAGTAGATGTAGATAAAAAAAAAACACATATCACTTCTGCTACAAATAGAGATTTTACAAAATTTTCAAAACTATTTTTGGATCATAAAATCTTCAGTTTTCAGATATTTTTTCTATAATCTAGGGCCCCTCTACAAATTACACTTAAGGCATGGTTAACCCGGTAATCACACCTTAAGTTGTGACCCAGAGACATGTTCAACCAATTAATGACATGATAAATAAAACAATAAGCTACAAAGTTAGTCAACAGAAAATATGGAATAACTTTGTAGCTTGTTTTAATTGCACCATTAACCGAACATGTGGCCAAGTGCTCCCTTATGGCTGGGAGCCCCATCAACTGAAGGGCTCCCAGTCACAGGAGTGTACAATGTGCCGGCAGCCCCGCAGCTGACAAAGCTCCCTGTGGTGGCAGCGTTGTCAGCTGCGGGGCTTGCAGCAGGGAGATTGCTGCCTCCCTTCTTGAGCCCCCTCAGCTGTAGGGCTTGCAATGGGTTAGCCTCATGAGGCTTACAGCAGCAGCAGGGTTCTCCCTTCTCCCCTTGACTGAATTTCACATCTGACACGACCTGCAGAGCTCGCAGCAGGGTCAGTGGGGAAAATGTGTCCCAAGTTGCCCCTGCACTGGCAATAAGGCGTGATGGGATCTAATGTGCAATCCCACAATTGTGCCTCCTGCCATATGATCCTGTGATATGGCAGGTGGCACAATTATGTGGATCATGCATTAGGTCCTACACATGTAGAGGGGCCCTCAGAAGCACATGCATTTTGTGGGCATTTTTTGTCACAAAGGATGCAAGAGATCTAAATATATTTGTCCCCAGCCCAAAGTGAAGATATTTTTTGTTTAAAGGATAAAAGGTAAAGTACCATCATTTCACAGTACCTACTGAGCTGTATCACAGTTTCTGTGTTTTGTTTTTTGCTTCTCCCTCCTCCCATCATATATATATATATATATATATATATATATATATAATATTATACTCAGTCATTTTTCTACTTTATCTCTGCCTTGTCTCCTCTTTCCCTGGCCACCACAAATCTCTGTAATTGTTGGGGGTTTTTTTTTTACTCTTTTATCTATTTTTTTTCTTGGACTCCTTCCTCACATATAGCTTCTCCAAAAGGGAGTGTAACCTAAACAATACTTGTCAAACTTTTGAAATGATCACATTTTAGGTTGGTCAGTATTAGTCCAAAGCCTTTTGTCTTCCTATTACTTATGTGTGGAAAAATAAGAAGGCCTTTGTGATCAAGGAATTTGCTGCTTTAGAGATTGTGTACCAGATGGAGCCCCTCAGGAAACCCCTCAGCAGGAGCAGTAGAGGAAACCCCTCAGCAGGGGTAGTATTTCCTACTCGCTATTGCAACGGGAATTTGCTAGGTTCTTCAAGAAATTTAAATGAAGATATGACCTTTAATGGAGAGGCAGCAGTAATGCAGAGCATTCACATAGACATCACAGATGCCAGCAAAGTAGTATATCAGGTAGATGTTAGAAGGGGGAAAGTGCGAAAGAGGATGGTTATAGGATGGGGCTCTTTCTCCCCAGCACATAGACATTCACTAGCATTAGATGATAGTAGGATTTTCTGTGGAGAAACACAATACTCTCCTGGAGAACAGAGAGAATGTAAGCCTGAGTGAGATGTTGACACTTTCTTTTAAGATAGCAGAGCATCTTTTTGCCCTACTTTAGGGAAGCTAACAAAACGACAAGTGTGTTAAGGAGAATGGGATGTAGTTTCAAAAACAAAAAATACTGGGGAAGGAACATGTGCTGATAATTTTCATGCTTAATTCTTAACTAAAAGGTCCTTTTTAATGCTTGAAAAACGTACGTGTCTTGGTCATTCTCAACTTAAAGAAGCAATGGAAAAATATACTTTTACTACTAGGAAAACCTGTTCTGACCAATTTTTGGATGGCGCAACATTGGTCGAGCCCATTAACTTGACAAAATTGCAGACCTCCATGAGAAAAGTAAATGCAGGCACTTTGTGTGTTTGTTTTTTCAAGACAAAGGTCTTGTTTTAGTTTT